AAACTTTTTTCTTTTATTTGATGAGGGGCTAGATACTAGGTATTAGACCCTTCTACCTTTTGAAAAGCTTGAATTGGTAGATTTTGCACTGAAGCAATGCGGTGGGTTCTCCCAGCGTTTTGAAAGCGGATTGCATTGCAGCTGTTCCAGATTATTAAAGTGGGCAAGAAAGAGTATTTTTTTGGTGAGTTCTGTGGAACTTTTCTGTCTAGAAAAAAAACTTTATGTGTTTCAAAATAGAATATCCTTTCTATTTCTGAAAAGCCGTTAAAATGACTAGGCTATTTATTTTTGTGGAATTTGGAATCCAACGTGTGGAAACCAGTACCTGGCCCCGCCTTGTGTTTGAGAGTCACGTGTATCCAGGGTCTTAAGAGTGCAGGGAATTATGATGGCTGGTTTTGGAGCAGTAATAATAAACAATTTTTTACAGAGTGATCAGTGGTACAAGCGTGGGACGCGCACGGTCTCCCAGCTCTTAGGTTTCTCTCTGCATTTATCTCTGCGTCACTTTGCATCACAGCTAGACTCCCCTCCTACCTCCCCCCTTCCCAGTTGCCCTGTTTACTTATGTTACCTGTCGAACTTTCATTATTATTCAAGGAATCTCTTATGCATGCAGACTTTGTTCTGTTTGTTTAATTGAAGTGTAGTTGATGTACAGTGTTGTTCCTGAGGTCAGGCGTAGTGAGTCAGTGATACGTACTTGTGTTCTTTTTCATATTCCTTTCTGTTATAGCTTGTGACAGGATGCTGAGTGTAGTTCCCTGTGTTCTACAGTAGGACCTTGCTGTTTATCTATTTTGTGTATAGTAGTTTGTATCTGCTAATCCCAGACTCCTAATTTAACCTTCCCTCCCCTTCATCCCCTTTGGTAACCATAAGTTTGTTTTCTCTGTCTGTGAGTCTGTCTCTTTCTATTTTGTAAATAAGTTCATTTGTACCTTTTTTTTCTTTTTTAGATTCCACATAAAAGCGGTATCATAGGATATTTGTCTTTCTCTGTCTGAGTTCACTTAGTATGATCATCTCTAGGTCCATGGGTGTGTGTGTGCAGCCTTTGTTTTAATGACAGAATTATCCGCACTGTGATCAAGGTAGTGGGAGGAGAGATGAAGCTGTCCCTGGCCGTAGTGATTTCTGCTGATGGGCCCCGACGATTTCACCTCATCTGAATAAACCATCGGGAGCTGTTCCTGTTGTGGCCGTGTAGTTTTACACTTCCGTTTTAGGGAGGTCGAAAGCACCATTTGGCACGAATCCGGGCACAAGCAACAAAAAGCAAGTAAGTGACTGAAGGCACCTCCCTTCTGTCACTGTCAGGAGAGAAATGCATTAGGATTTGGGTGTTGGTTCGCCTTTTTGGAGCCTCTCAAAGTCTCTTCTCGAGTATTCCTGTGGGTCGACCCTGTAGGTCGTGGGAGCTGTTGACGAGTTTCATGCAGGAGAGTTTTTATCTTCGAAAGTCCATTTGTCACATATGGAGCTGGGACTGAACAGGCGAGACCAAGTGGAATTAGTGAGGAGGGGGCTTCTGGGGAAATCTGAGCCAGTGAGGCCAGAGCAGCGGAGATGCAGAAGGGGGGTTGATTATAGAGTTAATTGAAAGCGAAGAACACCGGCATGGAGACGGTGGCGGTGAGGCTGGGGGGTCTGCACGGGGGTGAAGGGAAGGGGTCACCACAGACCCCAGGACCACCATCCCACCCTCTGTTAGAGGAGGCAGAGCCGTGGCCCTGGGGCTGCTCCCAGATCAAGGTTACGCAAAAAAGAAAAAGTAAGTGCTTGGTGAGCATAGGTTTAAGGAAACCCTTGAGAACAGATCCAAGGCATATAAAGGAATGTAGGTTACTCTCTGTTTGCTTAGAGTATTTAATATGGTCTCAGCTATAGAAACCCCCCCCTTTTTTTAAGTATATGCATTTTGTATGTTGGAGAGGAAGACAACAGTGACACCTATAATCTCAGAGCCATGTTGGAATATATACCACTGTGTGCTTGATCTTGTCAAATCTGGTGACAACTGTTTATTTATATTTAAGTGATCTGTCTACAGTCAGCAAGGAGAAGGGTCCTGAACAATCTTGGGACAGGGGGATTCAGCTCAAGGTCTGATTTAAAGATAGAAAAGTGTGACTGTGAGGTGTGAGGAGTTGTCATGCAGTTAAAGAGAGCAGCTTCCAAAGTGCTCCTAACTTAATGGTGAAAGTTTTCAGCATTTGAAATGCAGATCATTTTGAATTTTTTTTCATCTGATGCATTATATGGCATGTACAATGAAAAGTAAAAGCCTGGCTTTGGTCACTTCCAATTAGTTAACTGTTAGCAGGCCTGACATTGTAGACCAAGAGGAGGAAGGCACAACCTCCCTGCCTGCCTCCCCTCTGCAGACGGTTGACATGAAAGAAGGCGCCAGCGTCTGTGGTCAAGGCGCTGAGGGAGGGTGTCTGGCATCCTCCAGGGAACCAGGTGGTTCTCTGTTCTCTTTGGAAGGAAGACCCTTTCCTTCCCCAGAGGAAAATGCAGCTTCCATCTTTCTTTCTGGCCACATCCTCCCTGCGGTCCTCTGATGGAGAAAAGTGCGCTTTCTAGAGAGTGGAGTTCTCCAGAAATCTGAATGTTTATTCATGAAAGTGCCACATCGTTTAATTTTTTAAAATTGAAGTGAAATTTATGTAACAGAGAATTAACCACTTTAAAGTACATTCGGTGACATTTAATACATTCACAGTGATGTACAGGCAGCCCCTCTGTCTCGTCCAAAATGTTTTGATCACCCAGGGGGAAACTCTGCCCCTGCAAAGCCATCACCCCCCATTCCTGCCTCCTCCCACCCTCCCTTCTGCTGGTGGCAACTGCCACCAGTCTTGGTCTCTGTGGACTTACCTGCTCTGAATAAGTGAACTTGTACATCTGGTTTCTTTCAATGAGTGTCATGTTGCAGGAGTCATCTATGTGGGATCCTGTGTTAGTACTTTGTTCCTTTACACGGCTGCATCATATTCCATTGTGTGACTCTACCATATCTTGTTTACCCATCTGTCTGATGATTGACATTTGGGTTGTTTCCACCTTTGATGCTGCTGTGTATTTGTGGGAGTACCTATTTTTAATTATTTGGGGGTATATACCTAGGTGTAGAATTGTTGTATAAAATAACTCTTTTATAATTTTAACCTTTTTTTTGGTTCAAAATGTTTGCAAAATATATTATAGACCTCCTTACACTGGCAGACATTTACAAAGGACATGATACTTTGCGATACTTTGCTTGATATTCCTGGTGGTCGCTGTGAATGTAAATGATTACAAATTGCTATAATATGATACAGATTGCTATAAGATGATTCAGATACTGAACTTCCTGTCCAGTGTTTGTCGCTTTCCTTGTTCTCTGCTGCGTTGCAGTCCCTTGGCAATGAGTGTGAAGAGGAGGCTCTGTAATTAAGTTGCCTGGGTTCAAATCTCACCTCTTCCACTTACTGGTTGTGTGACTGAATGCAAGATTTTATCTCTGTGCCTCAATTTCCTCATCTGAGAAGTAGGTGTAATAATACTGTGAATCTCCCAGAGTTATTGTCAGCATTGAAAGGGTCAAGCCCTGAGTATTAGTCTGCTCGGCCACTGTGACAAAAGACCACTGGCTGGCTGAAACAACGGATGTTTGTTTTCTCAGAGTTCTGGGGGCTTGAAGTCTGAGATCAAAGTGTCAGCAGGGTTGGTTTCTCTCAAGGGCTCTCTCCTTGGCTTGCAGACAGCCACCTTTTTGCAGTGTCCTCATGTGGTGTTTCTGTGCACACATGTCCCCGGTGTTTCTTTGTGTAGCCAAATTCTCTCTTCTTACAAGGACACGAGTCAGACAGGATGAGGGCCCACCCTAATGGCCTCTTTAATTTAATCATCTCTTTAAAGGCCCTGTCTACAAATAGAGTAGCGTTCAGAGGTACTGGGGGTTAGGGCTTCAGAGTGTGAGTTGGGGGAGGGGACACAATCAGCCCAGGGCTCCCTGAAGCCGGCGGCCCAGGGCACACGGCATGGAGGCTCGCAGGTGGGTGGTGGTGCCTGCAGGACCCTCCTGCTCCCCTTCTCATCGGCTGCTGCACTTGTGTCTGGGCCTGGAAACCAACCTGTTAGCCTTTCTTGCAGAGGGGCCAGGGAATAGTTTCTGTCCATACAGAGGAGGCACGAGGCAGGACTCTTGGTTTTAATAACTCAATAGCCTCTTTTTTGCTGCTCTGAAGATTGTGCTTAATTTCTGGCCTGGATTTGGTTCCAGAAAAGGTAAGATCGCCCGTCAGCTGTTTTCCAGGTAAACTACATGATGCTTGATGAAGTATTTGAGACACTGGAAGAGCACTTAATGTTTTCAAAATGGTCTTGTTCCTTTTCAAAAATTGTGGTTAAAGAGACATGACATAGAATTTACCATTTTGACTCTTTTTAATAAGCGTACAGTTCTGGTGCACTAAATATGTTTGCAGAGTCGTGCAACCATTTCCACCACCTACGTGTGGAACTTTCTCACCATCCCAAACAGAAACGCTGTACCCATGAAGCAGTAGCTCCCCCTCCCAGCCCCGGCCCCCACCTCATGTAATCCTGCCGCCTCCTGGTAGCCGCCTGATGGAGGGGGGTCAGGAGGTCACCAGGGAGCAGGGATGCGGGCCTGAGCTGCTTCACCGTCTTCTTGTCTTGTTTACCCTTCCCTGCAGCCCTCTTTGAAATGGCCTAGTTCCTTGGCACACGATTTCTACCAAAAGGTGAAGGAAAAATGTGAGTCGGGGGTGGAGTCTCCTGCCCCCTCAGTGCACATTCAGGGGGTTCTGCTCGAGCTTAGACAGTGGCTCCTGGGGATGTGGCAGCGCCTTCCCTCCCGATGTGGAGCCACACTGAGCTGCTTCCAGAGCCTTCTGTCTCCGCCCGCGCGTGGGTGGGGGTGAGCACCGGTGCGCAGGGCCCCGCCCCAGGACCACGTGTAACGCGGCCCCGTGTGCTTGCAGACCTACATTGGCTCCATCATCGCCGCCGTGAACCCCTACAGGACCATCCCCGGCCTGTACGGGCGGGACGCCATGGAGCGCTACAGCAGGTGCCGCCTGGGGGAGCTGCCCCCCCACGTCTTCGCCATCGCCAACGAGTGCTACCGCTGCCTGTGGCGGCGCCACGACAACCAATGCGTCCTCATCAGGTAACCGCCCGGTGGGGCGGGGCGCGGGGCGGGGAAGGGGCGGGGCAGGGGGTGGGGCGGGCGGCAGGCGGGCCCTTCGGTTCAGAACCACACCTGCTGGCATCTCTGCCACCAGCTTCCTCGGCCGGCCCGGCCCCCCCAGACACAGAGCCTGCTCATTATTAGTGCATGAACCAAAATTCCTCCACGGGCGGTTTCTGTCCTGAACAGCCTGATAACTGCAACTTCCGAAAGACGCGAGGAACACAGTAGGAAGCAAGATGTGCCACGTTTGTTGGCTCTTGTCCTCGGAATAATTACTCCAGTTTGTTTATTTTCTCTACCTTAGTGGTTCTTTGGTTTAATTCCAATTGTGAGGCGTGGTCCTTCTCTTGATTTTCAGAAATACTGTGTAGTTCTTTCAAATTTAAAATGTTTTCTGTAGTCCGAACTGCTGGTCAGAATGCTTGTGTATTTGAGCACGATTTTGGTTTTTGGTAGTATAAGAGTACCCTAGAATCTCCCAAATTTAAGGATTTTTTTAATGATTTTAATTGGATGTTCCTAAAGTTTACCTCTGAATTAGCCCCAGAAGAGGGGCTTACTCTGCATATGCTGAGGGAATGATAGGAAGGCATGCTTATTTCAATTACTTTTGGCGGTAGGGGTGGGGAACGGGGATCTTGACACCTGTTTAAGCCAAATTTTAACTTACTTATTAAAATACACTACCAGACAATACCTCAATGAAAAAAATACACTACCAGAAACCTCACTATCTAAATATTTATTCCTAAGTGCTACCTAAAAAACCCAGTGCTGTACTTTAAAAATATTTTTATTGAGCAATTCAAATTGGTCTTATCTCCTGCATTCTAGTGATAGTCCTATTGGATCTTATTGTTTAAATTGGAATCATGTTCTAGCGATGATCAGAACACCCCCGGATGAGACCCAAAGCAGATGTGCTGAGTGTCACTTTCAGCGAGGTTTCCATGGAGCATCCAAGCCCTTCATTCATTTGTCCTCCCAGGTAGTCACACCCAGAGTATGGCTGTTCCTGAGACCCCACAGTGTTACTAAACTGCTTGTGGGAAAGAAGATTTTGACATCTGCTTTAGATGGCTTTCTCGTCCCAACTTGTGGCAAGATAATTATTATCTCAAAAAGAAAGCGAAGGGGTGTTTGGATTTGTGGAGGATGACAAATAAGACCCCCCCCCACCCCTTGGTTGGACACAAGACTTCTAGCCAATCAGTCTTGCTGACTTTGCACCCCAAGTTACAGACAGACTGACCCACCTGGCTGGGGGGACAGGCAGGTACCTGGTGGCCGCAATCACTGTCCAAGCCAATTCCCAGTTGGTGAGGAGCTGACCAGCCCTTGCCTGGAGTTCACCTGCCAGAGAAACCACTCCACTCCTTGGAGGAGGGAGAGGTTGGGTAGGGGGCAGACATGCCAGAGGAGGCCCCTCCTGAAACTCCAGGGAAGGGAAAGGGGAACATTTGGGAGGTGCTCATACTGTCCCACGTGGAGTCTGATTGAAGATAGGAAAGAAATAATGGCTAACATTCTTGGAAGGTATAGGACTCCGTGCCAAGAACTTTTCAGGCATCAGTGAACCCTTCCAGCAGCCCTTCGGTGTGAGTGCCCTGGAATGACACCTCCCGGTGCTGCGCACAGAGAACTACTTTCAGGGACTGTGTTCTTCTTGGTGGTAGTTTTTACCCATGGCTTTGGTTCATGGGTCCTTCGTTTGTAATAAATCAGAATTACCTGAATGTGGAGGACAGACCTGTATGTTTCTCCTTCAGTTGTATTTTCTCTCCTGCCCCCACCTGCCACTTTCTTTAAGGGAAGGGAAGCACCTGGGCAGATACAGTCCCTCCTCCTCTTTACCTCGACACTAATGCACCAGGCTGTGGAAACAGCTTGGGTAGAGGGGCTGTCAGTTCATCCATTTAAATGAATATGAATCATTATAACTTGCAGTTAATCAAAATGAAACTATTGCTTAGTATGAAAACAGAACTTTTAAGAGTCCCACTCCAATAACCTGCCTGATGACTGGAGGCACTATTTGTGGGCTTTTTTTGATGACTTCACCAAAGTTCATGAGCTAGAACTTAAGATCCCTCTTTCAGCCTGCAGAATATAATTTAATAGGATTAACAGAAAGAACAAGAACTTAATCTGTCTAGTTTAAGAAGATCAAATTCGTTTCCACCCTTAGGTACCTAGACGTTTGCTGTCGATAATTGCTTGTGTTTATTACTTTCAGTGGAAAAAATGAGAGCCTGGCTCATATATCACCTGCTAGACAGCAGTTTAGGAAGAAAGTAAAAAATCAAATGAGATCATTGTACATGTATACGTGTGTGTAATAAAATGGAAAGGGTTTGGCATTTTCCTGCCGAAGACTGGTATTTAAAAATAAGGTGGGGGAAGTTGGAGAGGGAGAGGAGAGGGAGGGGCCCCTAGACAGAAAGCTCTCATTGTCTAATGCTGATGTGAAAAGAGTAACTGTATTTATCTAAATTAACTCAGGAAACGGTGTCTTTAAGAAATAGGTTTCCTCATTAGAATGTGTTTTGGTTTTTTTTTTTAAGTGGGGCTTGGGACTGTAGGAATTAAAGAGAAAGTTGAGTATAAAAATAAAAATTGTAGGATACAGTGGCCCTAGTTAGGTTTCCTCAGGCATGATCCGCCCCCTAGTGGCTACAACGTGTTACTACTTATAAAACTTCTGTGCTAATTTCAGACACTAACCCTATTTAGAAGGCAGGGACCTCATAGATCAACTTTTCTTTCACTATGACACTGCTAGTCCCTAGGATTCCAATCTAAGCCTTTTCTATTGGTCTTGCTTTCAAGAGTTTATCTCTCTTAAGGTCTAGTTTTATTTTACCTTCTTGTGCACATTTAAATGAATGCTTATGTTTTTATAATTTATAAAATATAAATGTATGTTTAAAGCTTACTTGGAATTTTCTTTCATCTAAATGACAAGGTCAGCATTTGATCTTGGTGGATCCAGTACATTCAAGTTAGCTTCAGTTTGGGGCAGGCAGTTTAGTCTATTATGTTTAGTCTGTTATGGTCTTTTCAGTATATTGTGATCTTTTAAGATGTATAGTGAAGGCAAGGCTTGTGGCTAATTCATCTATGCAGCTCTTTGCCCAGGACAGTGTCTCATAGAGGGGACAGCATCCAACAGCTGTCAATCAAAGGATGGATGGATGGAGGAGCTGTTGAATTTAGGACCTTTGCTTGCTTTGCAAAAGTTTTGATTTTCTAAAGCTGGAGTGATTTCCTTTTAACTATGTCTTTTACATTCTGGAATAATTATTGGTTGTTTGATCTTTTTCTATTTCTAGTATTCTGTGATTGAATGTGACCCAAACTCACATCCTGGATTAGAAAGGCGCCAACCAGAATAAGGTGTGGGGCGTGCCTCACACTCACGTCATAGAGCAGGTTACACTGCTAGGCTTTTGGGATTTTTTTTTTTTTTAAATGACTCAGTCATTGCCTTTCAGGAGCTTCTACTATGATGGGAAGAAACTGATATAAATAAGTAAATTCAGTACAGTTTGCCTAATGCTATAAAAGAAAGGTGTTGCTCAGAGAAGGTGGTGGTAGATACCCAAGAAGGAATCCAGAGAATACATCACAGATCAGGTGACATGTGACCGTGAATCCAAGGAAACATGGGGATGTGGGCACATGGAGAGGAGGGGGGCACAGAAGCATTTGCAAAAACTGACGTGTGGGAAGACGAGGACCCTTAGGAAAGGGAAGGTACGCCTGTGAGGTGTGGCACGTGCTGAGGGCCTGGAGGAACTGGGCTTGGAAAGGCAAAGGAAGGAACCGCCGCCCGCTGAGAAAGACCAGAAGCGCTTCCGGTGGGGAAGCTGAGGCTCCGTGCAGTTAAGTGACTTGCCAAGGAGCTGTGAGCTGTGGGTCACAGACACAGGACTTGAACTTCTGTCTCCCCATGTTAGTTTCAGAGCAGAATCCTACTTCCTGGGGCAGGGTTGCACCTCAAGGGCTTTGTCCTGCTTGCTGTGACCTTCGGACTGAATCCTCTAGGTGGTGAGGATGTTTCTTAAGTCTTCCAGCAAGTGATGGAGTGATCAGGGTCTGTTTTGAGAAAATAATGTGAATCAGGGGGATTTGACTCACAGGGTGGAGAATGTTCCGCAGATGTTAGCAAAGGTATCTGTAAGGGGCCAGGGAGGGATCCTGACATTGCCACGGGCTATTTTAGGCTCCCTGCTCGAGATCATCTGTTACAACTACTCAAATCTGCCCTTGGAATGCAGATGCACCATAGACAGAATGCAAATGAACGGCCAGGCTGTGCTCCAGTAAAACTTTCACAGAAACAGGCAGGAGGGCAGATT